CTGAGCCACCCAGGCGCCCCTAGCCTCAGCATCTCTTATAAGAACTCTTGGGTCACCAGTCTCAGGATGACCAAGAGGTCCCCTTGCTGTGTGCGGTCATATCTTGTCCTTTTCTCCTCCTTATGGTCAGAGCCACACCTCTTCCTATTGCTGTGAAGCGTTTGGTTTTGGGGGCCACCGTGGCAGTTATCTATCCGGGCATAATGCTCCATAGGCACACACTCAGGTGTCCCTTGTTCAGTTCCTAACTCTGTTGTTCAAGTGGATCAGATTAGTATGGGGCCCTGTAGGAACTCACTGCCCTTCACATCGCCACCACTGGTTTATGCCCGAGACTTTTTCTTCCTGTCGCTGGCAAAATCTCAGAAATTCTCTCTGTGAAAAAAAACTAGAGTCATTATTGATTTCTGCCTTTCCTTTACAGGCTAACACTGCTTTACTCGACTACCATCTTCCTGGCCAGAGAGGCCTTCCGTAGAGCATGTCTGAGTGGGGGCGCCCAGCAAGACTGGAGCCAGACCTTCAACCTCTTGTGGCTAACGTGAGTCGTGCTTTGGCAGGAGACAGTGCGAGAGCAAGTGTCTTAAGTCTAAATGGTTAAACAGCAACCTTGCCCAAAGCTGAATTGTCTCCAGCTTCGGTTTCATGGGTGTTTCTGAGGACTGGGCGTGGGACAGGAAGGAGAGAGCGTCCACGTAGAAGGAGTTTGTTGGCTGTTTTCTCTGTGGATGGCCAAGAGCTCCGGGTGGGGGTTTCGGGGCCAGGTTTCTAGTCCTGTTTCTACCCTCTCGGGAATTGTTTCTGCCATTCCTGATGCCCATTCTGGGCCTCACTGGGCCTGTGCCATCTTCTTTATTCCTAATCTTTCCCCCATAGTCTTTTCTGAGCTTTTAACCACACTTAGTATTTTTTGAAAGCCTTTTAGGGCTTTCATTATATCTTTCTTCAATTTTGTTAGGTTGATTTCAGTTCTGAGCCTTTTAGAATATTCTTGAAGGCCAAGTACATCAGCTAAAACTTGTAATGGCTTTTCTGCAGTTAGATCCCTGCAGGGAGGGCTGGTGCTTGAGGTTGTTTCTCAATGCTGCCTTACATAACTCCTTGCCTCATGGAAATGACTGTTGTGAGGCTGGTAGGTGTTCATTTTATTCGAGGCCTGACAGTTAACTACTCAGTCATATTGAAGTGCTCTGTGGTGCACATGCAAGGGGACACTGTGCACTGGACTGTTGCTTATTTGGGTGCAAAAACCAACTGGATGCTGTCTTTTAGTCATTCAGGGTGCCAACGACAGGCACGTACTTTCTGGGAATTTTGCTTATCTCGTCAGCGTAACACAGTGGATGGGAGTGGAGATTTTGGCGTTAGATGGGGATCGGGTCCTGCTTCTGCCCTTGACTAGCTAGCTGTCCATGACCTTGGCCAGATTACCCAGTGCTTGTCATCAGCCTTAGTTCCCTCATCACTTAAATGGGGATAATGACAGGATCGTTGTGAGGTGTCCGAGAAGTAAAGGGGGTGGATCTAGTGCCTGGCGTGTAGGAAGTGCGTTAATAAGTAGTAGCTATTTCTATGATTATATTTTCTTTCTGTTCAGTGCTACTATTTTAATATACATTTATTTTTATATTTAGCATATTAAAAAACATTTTTTCCCTTTTCTAGAGTCCCCCTGGGTGTGTTTTGGTCCTTGCTCCTGGGCTGGGTGTGGTTACATTTGCTTGAAGTGCCTGATCCTAATGTCGTCCCCCACTATGGAACTGGAGTGGTGGTGTTTGGCCTTTCGGCCGTGGTAGAGCTTCTGGGAGAGCCCTTCTGGGTCTTGGCACAAGCACAGATGTTTGTCAAACTCAAGGTCAGTGTACCTTCTGCTTTGATGGGAAATGTGAAGAATAAGGTAAAGAGTGGTTTCTTAAAAATGTTTCCTAGGAGAGAATGATTTTTTTTTTTAGAATGCGTCTAAAAAGAAATTTGGAAAAAGGTAACATGATCAGTTTAGTTCATTCCCTTGAAATTTGGCAGATGGGCTGGGCTTAGGTTTACCTCTGCTGTACTCTTAATGCAAAACAGGTTTACGGATAGTGAAGTTATCAGTTTAGATAAGAATGTAAGAGGACTGTAAAGGTTTTTCAGATTTTTCTAGTGATTCTATTTTTAATTGTATACTAATAGTAACTTTTCATCTTTCAAAATATGTAATTTGATATGTACAAAAGGATATATAGCATATGTGTAAATCTTAAAGCATGATGGTATACTGAAGATCCATGAACTTACCGCCCAGCCCAACTAGAACATTATCAGTGCTGTGTCTAACCCTGTGCCCCATCTCCGCTCCCAGGGTAACCACTATCCCAGCTTCCTATTCATCATTCCTGTGCATCTTTAGTTTTTAATAACGTGAAGTGCACCCTTTACCGTGTTTCTGCAGGTGATTGCCGAGAGCCTGTCAGTCATCCTCAAGAGTGTCCTGACAGCTTTTTTTGTGCTATGGTTGCCTCACTGGGGGCTCTACATATTCTCTTTGGCCCAGGTAAGAGTTACAGTTTTTCACTATTGTATAATCTGTGTTTCTCCATTTGATGTTTTCTTCTTGTTCCCATTACTGTGTGATTTACATTTGCAGTATTCATGCATGTGAGGCAGGCTGGAAACTCTAGAAAGATGGTCTTGACAGTGCTTTTCCTTTGGCTGTCCATCCTGCTCCATGTGCTGTTGCCACTGGTGTCCCCAGGGGCCTGGTGAGGGCCCCACAGGCCTCGCTGTCAAACATAGTGACTCCTTTAGATGTTCTGTGGGCAAGCCCGTACAAAACTCACCTTTGATTGTCTTACTGTCTTATGGAGGAGGGGAAAAAGCAGTGAGGGGGTGGGGTGGGAATCGAACTGAATGTGTGTGATTTTCCCTGGATTGCAATCAGGTGTTTTCAGAATAGGAGGAAACTCTGCCAAGCCTGTTTGGAACTTGGACTGCAATCTCACACAATGCAGAGCACAGGAACCAGGTCCTGGCAGGCACACTCTCAATCCCGGCAGGCCCGGCCTCGTTGCCATCCCGTGTTCTAGTTCTAGTTCATATCCCTGGCTCTAATGAAAGTACAACTAGAGTTCAGTGCTCATTTTAAAAATGAAACCTAAGATCACACAGTTACTGGAACAGCTTATAGTACAAAGCAGTTTTTGCAATTTTTCTTAATGTATGGGAAGATAAGTTAAAATTTTTAGTAGCAATTTATGTGAAAGTCTTTCCCGTGTCCTGAGCAAAAACTACAAATAATTGTTGTGAAACACAGGAAAAGTAGATTTCCAATCAATATTATAAGAATGAGAATTGCTTCCTAAAAGCAGTTTGCAAATAGTTGTGTATCTTAGAGGAGTTATCTGTGATTATTTTTGCCATGTTTATTAGATCTGTAACTACAGTTCTCCACATTCATCATGTTTTTTTATATACTCTCCCTAATAGGACAGAAGGGCATGAAGATGCCCAGTTACTGGTTGATTCCTCTTGGGAAAGACACTTGCACTATGTCTTTCTGATGCTCCCACCAGGATACATCCTAGGTCAGCAAGGCCCATTCTGAGTTTATTTGCTTTCTTATTATAAGACTTCAGAGAGCTCTTCTCTGGTACAGTCTTCATCAGTGTCTGTGTGAGAGGTCTAAGAGCCAACAGCACCTCATATCAGCAGGCAATCCCCACCAGGGCTCTGGGATTCCCCTTTGTCCAGCCCACCTCCAGGTTCCTCCTTAAACAGCCCCTTACCACATGGCATCATATATCAAATAAAAGGGTCACTCTAGAAGATATATTCTTACAACTCAACAACAAAAAGACTATCCAAAAAGGGGGCAAAGGACCTCAATAAACATCTCTCCAAAGAAGATATCCAAATAAATAGCCAATAAGCACATGAAAAGATGCTCCATATCATCAGTCATTAGACAAATGTAAATCAAAACCACAATGAGATACTACTTTACACCCATTAGGATGGCTGTTATCAAAAAACCAGAAAATAACAAGTGTTGACATGGATATGCAGAAATTGAAGTCCTCACACATCGCTGGTGGGGATGTAACATGGTGCGGCCACTGTCGAAAACGGTTTGGCAGTTCCTCAAAAAGTTAAATGTAGAACTGACATATGCCCAGCAGTTCTGCGCCTAGGTATATACCCAAAAGATTGAAAATGTGTTCATACAACTTGTACACAGATGTTCACAGCAACACTGTTCACCACAGCCAAAGGGTGGAAACAAGCCAGATGTCCATCACCTGATGAATGGGATGAGCAAAATGTGGCATATGTGTGCAATGGAATATTACTCGGCCATAAAAATGATAACGTGCCATGGCACGATGACCTTGGAAACCATTATACTAAGTGGACGAAGCCAGATACAAGGCCACCAATTGCATGATTCCATTAATGTGCAGTGTCCAGAATAGGCCAGTCCATAGAGACAACAAAGATTTTGATTGCTGGGGTGTGGAGGAGCAGAGAGTGACTGCTTAATGGGCACAGAATTTCCTTTTGGAGTGATGGAAATGTTCTGGAATGAAATAATTTCTTATAATAAGAAAGCAATGTTCTGGAATGAAATAATGGTACAACACTGTGAATGTATTAAAAGCCACTGAATTGTATGTTTTAAAATGGTTAAAACTGTCAGTGTTATGTGAATTTTTCCTCAATAAAAATGGGGGAAGGATCACGTAGGATACCCTGCATGAAGACTACCCATAGATTGTTACTATTTCCCCAGGCGCTGGTCTGTGGAAAGATGAGGGGAGGTGGGGAAGGGAGTCCTTTTGTCACAGAGGATGTTGCATCTGGTGGTATGGCTCACAGCAGAGCTGCTGTGTCTTCTTACAGGGCTTGAGGCATGGAAGAGGATGGTGGATGGTGGGCTCTGTCCTCAGGCACGGATAAGGGTGGAGAGCCGAGGAGCCCGAACCTGCTAAACAAGGCTCCCCTTTCTCCTTGCTCCCTGCCTTTGCCACAGGAGCAGGCTTAGCGTTCCAGATTGAAAGCGGGACATGGAGGTCCCATTCCTTCCTGAGCTAGTGTGCATTGCTGTTCCCAGCAGGGAGAGAAGACAGAAGGGAGCTTGTGAAAAGGGGCTGTTTGGATACTCCTCCCAACCTGCAAACAAAACCCCAGGCTTCGGCTCCTGGCCAAAAGCCACCGTTTTGTCCTGGCTGTGTGGAGGGAAGGGTGGGCCCTCTTATCACCCCCGCACCCTCCAGGCCCTCCCCCATCCTGGAGTGGCTCTTGCCCTGCCCATGCACTCGGCAGAGAGGAGGGAGCCAGCAGCTCAGTTCGTCACGGCTTATGCGTTTATGGGAAAGCCCCTGTCATCTAGGATGGCAAGTCTCTGCATATTAGCACAGGACTTGAGGGTCCTTGCAGGGTGCTGTCGAGGCAGGAGAGGCCTTCCTTTGAGAACACGTCTGACATTGCTGTGGTGGTGGCACTAGGGGATGTCTGTCAGGGACATGATGTTCTGCCTGCCCAGAAGAACCATTCTCCCAGTCAGGTGACGTCCTTGGAGCACTTTCCCCAGGGATGCTGCAATGGAGGGGCTCTTCGTGAGCAGTGCTCTTCCTCAGAGTGGGAGGCATTGCTCACTAGAAGGTGCAGTTCATAAAGACAGTTCCCTTTCTGATTTGGCCTTTGATGTCAAATTTTCAGGCATATCTTAATTCTGCCTATATTAAAACAGTGCCATTTAAATCCATTATTTTCTTTTTTCAGCTTTTGTATACTGCAGTTCTGGTGCTCTGCTATGTTATTTATTTCACAAAGTTATTGGGCTCCTCAGAATCAACCAAGCAACAGACCCTTCCTGTCTCCAGAATAACAGATCTGTTACCCAATATTACAAGAAGTAGAGTAAGTAATATACTCTCTCTCTTATCATTTTAATCACAGATGCTGATTATCCTGGAAAGAAGGAAGCTATTACTTTCTCGTTTATTGCTAAAGTAGTAAGGATAATTTCATAGCTCATATTTATGGAGTGCTCGCTGTGTGCTAGGCCAGGACTTCTCAGCCTTGGCACTACCAACATTTTGGGCTGGATAATTCTTTGTCGTGGGGGCTGTCCTGTGCATTGTAGGATGTTTAGCAGCACTCTTGATCTTTACTCACTAAATGCCGGGAGCTACCACCTCTCAGCTATGATAACCAAAAATGTCTCCATGAGGGACAAACGTCCCAGGGGGGATAACACTGACCCCGTTTAGAACCACCGTGTAGCCACTATGCTGAATGCTTTACATGCCTTATATTTAAAGTTTATACCAACTCTGTGAGGCTGACCTTATTATTTCTATTTTAGGGTTGAGAAACTGAGGGTTAGAGACTAACTCTCTGCCCAAGGTGAGGGTCAGAGTGAGGGTAGGGGCCTGGAGTGGCTTGATCCCCACAGAGCACAGGCTGTAACCACCGCGTGCCAGTCTCTCTGTTCGGCTGTGTCTTGGTTTTTCCCAGGATTGACTTCCAGCACAGAGAGTCCAGCGTGCTGACAAAGCAGGGATGACCCCTGCATAGCTCCGTTACCTAGAGTCAGGCTGGTCTTTCCGGTGACCCACTCTCCTGTGGAGACCACTGAGGATTCTAGGTGCTGATGTGTAGGAGCGAGGCATAACCTTCTTCTTCTGAACTCTTCAACTCTCAGTCCATTTGACTTTTATTTCCTGACTCTGGTGGGGTCGTTGCTACTGTTTGCGGCCCCGGAGTGGTACACGTGACGTTACGCCTCACTGCCTCTGCTCAGATGCTTTGTGAACGGGGCCGACCCACTTTCCCTTTTTCCCATGCTTGTTTGCCGGCTAGATGCGGTGCACGTAGCTGAGGTAAGGCTTCAGCTGGACTTCTCCTTATTCCTCTTTTTACTTGAGAAAGTAGTAAATATTTGAGATGTAAATTTCAGAACTTATGGAATCCTGTTATACAGCTTTTCAAGAAAGACCAGATATTATGTAAAGAAAGATATGTTCTCATTTGTTAGATAAGAGTTCTCCATTCTGATCAAACAGATCTCACCTTTAACCTAAATCGACATGGCAGTTTTGGGATACAACAGTGCCTCATCTGCAGGCTTAGAGGAGAAGGACTTGGGATCACTTCTGCCCGGAGCTGCGGCTGCCTGCCCACAGAGCAGGTCTGAGAGTGTTCCCCAGTGTTCATCTGTACCAGGCCTGGCCAGCTTTTCATACTGGGCCAGCCCCGGTGCCCAGCACTATTTTGGAAAGGAGCATTTGGACCATTAATACAGGCAAGGAGACAGAGGGTAGTGAAAAGAGCCTTAGTGTGTATTTAATTCAGTGGTGGGCTCACAGCTCCGAGCTACAGTTTCCTTATCTGTCAAGTGGGGATACTAAGAGTACCTCTCTCCTAAGGTGCTTGTGGGAGTGCAATGAAAAGGGGCATGGGAGGTACTTAATACTGCGGCGGACACAAGTGGCTATCCATGAGTGACGAGTGGCTCCACGGCAGAGCCCAACCCGGCAGTGTCTGACGGCCCTGGGCTGGGAGCTCAGTGGTTTAATCTGGCCTTCCTTCCTGCAAGTACCCAGGCTCCTACTGCCGGGACAGAAGCCTTGATCGTGAGAAGGGATGTACCTGTCTTACACGGTGGCACGGTTCCTGCTGACAGAGCACAGCCCCGTGCTGGGTGCCATCGGGGATACAGACATGTAGGAAGGTGATTGCTGGGCCTCGGGGAGCTTCCTGTGCATTTGGGAGGCAGTGAGTGCAGATATAAAGCCTGTAGGACTCTCTCCAGACCTCAGGGTCCTTATTTTTAAGGTGAGATTATTGGTCTACCCGACCCATGAGGCCCCTTTGAAAACTTAAGGAATTGTGAAGGTATTTGAACTTGGACAAAGCTGTTTATAATAACTACCATGGACTGCATATTTACCCTTGCTTGGCACTATGCTGAGCACTTGACATGGACTTGTATGTTGAACCATCCTAGTAACCCTGTGAGATATGGTCTCCATTTTGCAGATGAGAAAACTGAGGTTCAGAGGAGTTAAATGACCAAACCAACATCACACACTTGATTTGGACCTACTTCTCTCTAACTTGTGTCTGTGGACTGTCCTTAGTCTTCATGTTTAATCTCTCTGCTGTGTAGTCCTCCAAAAGAAATTGGCTTATTGCCCAAAGTAGTTATTTGTTGGCTTAACAATTGGGAAGTTCCAGGTAGAACAATTCATTATTCAAGTTTAGTTTTGTAAAAGAGAAAAGAAATGAGGTGAATCTGAATGCAGTGGATGACTTTACCACCAGCACTGTACCCAACTTGACTCTCGGGAGCAGCTTTGTGCCCTGGGGGCTCCCTCAGACAGAGCTGCTCAAGCAGTTACATCCAAAACCGATTTGACCAAATTGGGAGATTTGTTTCCTGTGCTTATAGAATCCCATCTTCTGTAAAGAGATTTATTTAGCCTTAAAATAAATGATACCTCAAATAATGGCTGCCTTTTATATTCTTTGACATTTCTGAGTGATTTCATAGGAGTATTTAAGTAAAGCTGAGGAATTTAAACAGCAAGCATGTAATAAGCAGTATTCTGTGTTAAGCACTATTCCAGGTGCCCTGAGTGGGGTCCCCACCCTCAGAACTTGCACTGTGGAGGGGAGATAAGGTGTGTACTCGGCTAACCACTGCAAGACAGTGTGCGTGTAGTGTTAACAAAATAGAAGCCCAGAGAAAGGACATGAATTCCATGTGGGAACATTGAGGAAGACTTCCTGGAGGAAGCTTCTTTTGAGCTGGGCCTCGACACGGACAGGCAGAGGTGAACGTGCACGTGTGGTGGAAATGTGCATTTGCGGCTTTGGGAAGAAAGAATGTTTGCTTCGGGCCCATTATATGCCCATCGCTGTGTTGGCATTGGGATTGCAGAGATGACTGCGGTACTTGGGTTGGCTGGACAGTGGGGGAAGGGCGAGGAAACAAAAGGGGGAAGGAGGTTATGGCCTGCAGGGCTAGGGCCAGGTAGTGGTGGCCTCAGTGCCCTGGAGTACAGGCTTGATTCAGGGGTAGGGGAGCCTAATGAAAGGTTTGTGAACAGTGCCGTGATCCAATTGCCTATGTTGAGGCGCTTACCACCTGTTTCACATTTATGGAGTGTCTCGTTTTCTCTCATTCAGTCCTTAGACCAGCTCCAGGAGATAAGACTCCTTATCCCATTTTGAAGATGGGAGAATGGAGGCTTAGCAAAATTAGGTGTCTTACCCATAGCTTTTGCACTTAGAAGTTGGTCGCTGCAGCTTAAGCCTCAGTGTCTGAGCTTGACTCCAAAGCCCGAAGCCTCCCAGGAGAAGGATGGGCTAGAGAACAGGTTGGAGGTGAAAGAGCTCACGAGGAGGCAGTGGTAGTTGTCCAAATGAGAGTGATGAGGACAGTGGGAGGGTGGGTGGACGTGTGAGTGTGGACACAGCTGGGGCAGAGTCGATGGCCCCAGAGCAAGAGGGAGGGAAAGGGGTCTTGTGTGGGATGTGGAGGTGATATGGGGCAGGACACAGGACCATGGCTGCATACCACCCCGCACCCCCACCCCGTGACTCTTGTCAGTGTGGGAGGCACATGGCTACTGGACCATCCTGGGGCAGAAGAGTTTGGGAAGGGGAAGACTGGCTCACTCCATCATGAGTCCCCGAGTTCTGACTGCAGACCTTCCCCCGAGATACCACCCATCACCTTTTGCCATCCATGCCTCAGTTTCTCCACCAGTACAGCGAGGCAGTGGAATGGCTTGTTGGTCAGAGGATTCCAGAGAAATGCACAGCCATGAAGACCAGCTAAGCAGTATCAACCTAGCTCTTGTGAAACAGGCCTCGTTTGACCTCCCAAGTGACAAATCCATTCTAAAGAAAATGGTAAAAGCCCAAAGAATATGCTGCTTCTTTTCTACCACTTAGCAGACACCGCTGAGAAGAAACCCAATCTCTGATCAGACTTCCTGCCTCTGTGTCCTGAGTGAGCATTTTGGAGATAAGCAGTGTGACCATTCCTTCTAAACCGTGGGTCTACTTAAATTGAAGGCATTAGGAGAATGGAATGCTCCCGCATGAGGTCTCAGGTCAGATACATTGTGAAGATTACACGCTGGTAAACAACCTTTTTTTAGAGAGCTCCGTCATGTTCCCAAACCCATTCGCAACCTCTGGCAAGGAGGCTCCACGAAGACCCTCTGGCCAGCTGTAACTGTTCATTTCCTTGAAAGAGAGCACAGGACTGCTGCCCAGGCCCCCCCAGGGGACCGCCTGGTGTGGGGGCGCAGAGTGTGACAGAGAAGGTGCTGCTGCCCAAGCCTCCCCTGGAGCTAAGGGCGGGATCAGTGCTGGGGATGATGTGGTTCACAGTGCCCCCTAGTGGTGGTAAATGCTCTGGCACCCTTTGTTCTGGGGAAAGGAGATGCCTAATTTCTTGTACAGCCAGAGGGGAGATTTGCTTCTGGCCTAGAGCTCGCGGTGGCATCTGCTGCAGGTCCAGTGAGTCTCTGAGGGCAGCATGGTTTGGGAGGATTCAGGCCTGACTTCACAGTGTCTGGAAGAAAGGCTCTGAAACCGAGGGGTGAAGAGATTTGAACACTGAATATGACCTTGTTTTCAAGGGATACTCTAGACTTACTCCATCCTAAATGGTAGCCACCAGCCACGTGGGGCTCTAGAGCATTTAGAATCGAGATGGGCTGTACGTGCACCCCAAGCACTGGATTTCAAAGACTTCGTATGAAAAAAATAATATGAAATGCCTCTAATATTTATTTACATGTTGAAATGATCGTGTTTTAGGTTAAATAAATAAAATAATTTTACCTTTTTTTTTTTTTTAACTGTTCACTGTGGCTGCTAAAAAATTTTAAATTCTATGTGTAGCCTACATTATATTTCCACTGGACAGCAGTACTCTACACAAATGGGCTTTGGTCCGAGATCAGGGGCCCATGTGACTGGGATAGGTTCTACATCTGCCCTTCGGCCAAATTCCATAGCTGTAACTGATCTTTTGGAGAGGTAGAGTGGGCTTGGCCTTTGTGATTCACCCCTTTCCTCCCAAAGAGCCCCCTGAAATCCTACCTTTCAAAGTCATCATTTTGAGTTAATAAGAATTTTTCAAAATGCAGGTACCCTGAGATTAAGCACCTAACACCTAGACTAAACATTCTGGGATCCCAGGATGCCTCCATGAGAGAGGAGGGGCCTCCAGAGAGGACTGCGGGAGATAGAAAGACAGAAGTCTTGTCCAGCTAGCTGCCTTACTCCTCCATTTTGTGGTCAGCAATCTGGCTTTGAGACCACCTGCCTCTTAACAGGTTGACCTCTGCCCTTCCTAAGTGTTTGCTTTCTTCTTACCCTCCTTGTCCTTAGGAAATGGGACAGTTTTGGAAGAGCCATATCAAAAGTTCTGGGTTTGTTTTTTCCTTTCCTCTGTCATACCAGTTCTGAGCGGTTTGACTGACCTTCCTAGGAAGCCTGGCTTCCTTTTGAAATACACAAACAAAGCTCATATACTGTGTGTAAAGGGACCCTGGGTGGCTAAATGCATTAAGATGTGGGGTGTATGGAGCAGAATTTGTTCTGCAGCTTGGGATGCTTCAGACATTTTTTAAGGCAAGAAATGACTCTGAGTTGTGTGTGTTAGATATGGTCAGCTTACCATCTGGGCAGTGAGGGGACAGTGCAGTTCCTTAGGGGTCTCAGTGAATGACTCTTGGGCAGGCTCCTTACCCCGACGCTCTTTCCACCTAGAGACTTTGTCTTCGTGTCTAGCGATGGAAACCCTTTGCCAGGATTCGTTGGATGCCTTCTGTGTGCTTAGCATTAAATGAAAAATGAGTGGGGACTCTCCAAGTTGGGATTTAGGGACCAAGATGAGTTTGCCTCTTGTGGAGGCTTCTTGTACTCGTAGACTTGCAGTGCCTGGGAGCTTTTGTTTTTGTTTTGTTTTCTCTTCTAGGCTTTTGTAAATTGGAAAGAGGCTAAATTGACTTGGAGTTTTTTCAAACAGTCTTTCTTGAAGCAGATTTTGACAGAAGGTAAGTAAAAGGTCACTCTGAGCAGTCAGGACACCACAGTATAAGTGAGGGGATTCCACAGAACTGCGGATTACCTATACCCAGACTTCCTGCTTTCTAGAGCCCCTGTGGGCAGAGGAACCCTAGAAATGGAAGCTTTTAAAATAGGGAGAGAGAAACTAACATTGATTTAGTTTGATAATGAGGGACAGTGCTGTTGTATAACTTCTGTGGGGTCCTAAGTAATGAGGAACAACTTACCTTGAATCCAAGTCTAATTCCCAAACCCCATGTTTTATCATTTAAAGAAATGTATTATGAAGTTTTATATCGATTTGAAAAAATTTGGAAAATAGAGAAAATGATCCATAATCTCATTATCCTATTCTAACTTTTTGTACACCTCTTTTTGTGAACATAACTTTTAACAACTGGGTTTTCATCATTTTATTTTGTTAAATAATAAGATTCATCTGTGTGATATTTTGGCCAGACTTCCAATTTCTTAAGGCTTTCCAGTTTAACAGTGACAGAGCTCTCTATACAGAGGGCTGCATGGAACTGAAAGTACATCTAGTTTTTCTGCGTATGTGTATTGGTTTATTTATGCCCAGCTTTAATTCAAAGAATGAGATTTGAGGTAGCTAGAAGTGCGTAAAGGTAGTGGTTTCTCTCTAAATTTCATATGTCTATACATCCATATATCTATCACTGAACATATTTTTAAATCTTTTCAAAAATTGTCTTTTTAATTTTTTTTTTAAGAGAGCGAGGGGGAACGTGGTGTGCATGAGCTGCAGGGCAGGGGCAGAGGGAGGGAAAGAGAGATTCTTAAGCAGGCTCCACCCCAGCACAGAGCCAGATTCAGTGCTCAATCTCATGTCCCTGAGACCATGAGCTGAGCCGAAATGAGGCGTCAGTCATTTAACTGATTGAGCCATCCAGGCACCCCCCAAACATTGCCTTTTATTTTTTTATTTTTATTTTTTTAAGATTTTATTTATTTATTTGACAGAGAGAGAG